GAAATTATTTTGAAGTTGGAGAACTGAATTGCAACGTCATTCAGGCTTCAGCATACGGTAGAAGCACCAGATTGACTTGTTTGTGAGTTGTGAACTTGTGATAGTGAAACGGATGGCCTTATTTGTAGTTTGCAATACAAGATAGCATGGATCGATATATTTGCGAATGTATTTAGCTCATTTTATTCATTTCTTTGGGTATTTTTGAAAATGAAAATATCAAAAAAAACACTGCTCGGCTCCGAAAAAACTGAAAGTCTGAAACCCGATGTTCATTTGTTCCCGACTAATCAAAGTACAATACGATCTATACAAATAATAATGCTCGTCGGCCTCTTCCGGAATTTTTAAACCAAATAAAATTTGGATTGGTCTATTCAAATTAAATTCCATAACAGTTGTTGGCTATACCTCTTAATAGTGACCCGTGGCCGGCATGCCCTGTGTGGGTGCTTACACATACATTAGTCATTTTTTATTTACACTGTAGGAAATATCAAATAGGTTGTGTATGTAGGATTCTGAATTTCAGATTTCTGGATTTGTCAAACAATTCGTAAGATTTCGATACATAGGAAAATAGGAAGTAGGAACCAGGCTACCAGCCTGGAAGTTTGGAACCCTCGGGCCTCGGCCTCGGCTTCTCCTGTGAGGAATCCTGGAGTCCAGGACTCAGAATCTGAGAATCCCCCACGGCCCACTAACTATGTACTGTCACGTACATACTACTACAAGTATTTAAAGTAGAGAGTAGTAGAATCTATTTACATAGTACTAAGTAGTAGTCTCCAGACTCAAAAGAGTCCCAGACTCCAGTGGGCCCAGGCCCCAGAGTCCCAGACCTCAGAGGCTCAGTGCAAGAGGACAGACTGACAGAGGCTCACCCCACTCCCACGGCCCACGGGCCCAGGCCAGAGGTATTTATGTAAATGTTACTCTCTTGAATCCAGTTCCAGCTGGAACTTATCAGTGTTTTCTGGATGCATGTCTCATTATTGTCGTAAAATGTAAATTATAAATACATAAATACATAAATACATAGAGAGGATATACATAGAAAGCTGGGGCCTCTGCTATGTAGCCTTACTCCCTCTCTAGACGGAGGGGGGGGGGGGGGGGGGGGGTTGTTTAAAAAAGGAAGGTAAACGACGTGACTAGTTTGCGATATGTCGTTAACCCCATGATGAGAAACGGTATTGTCACATGACAGAAACACGGTCATACCGCCCAGCAACTTTTGCCTTTTGGACTTCGCGTTCGATTGTGTGAAATACGTCTGTGCAAATATATAACAACTAACAACTGATCACCAATGAGTTTCGTTCTTTTTTTTGCGTTCGTCGCTAAAAATATAAACTCGGCGTCTAATTTATTAAAATAAAGAAATACAAAAAAAAGGCTTTTTTATTGTTATTTTTGTTAAAAAATATGCAATAAAATAAAATTTGTCGCACTATTGATTACTGTGAGAGATCACCTTCACGGCTTCGCGTGCCGACTGCAATTTATTTTAAAACGACTGCCGACAGTGCCGACAGTGCCGACAGCCCGACCCAGCCGAGTGCCGACGCATTCGGGTTAGTTTAAAAAAATAAATAAATAATAATATATAACTCTCGTTACAAGTCGTTCAAGACCTCTGCCCTCTGGGCTCTGGACTCTGCTGGTATATAAAATACCCTAAATAGAATACAAGAGCTCATAAAGTCCTTAGTGGTTTCATTTAGTCGAGATAAAAAACATAGCAAACGATGCTGAAAGTTAGGAAAGCCCAAAACAATCCCCCACAAGCAATGCAGTCTCCTACAGAAGAATCATTCTTTACTTATTCTGAGTCTAGTTTCGATAACTTAGTAGGTATTAAGATGCTACCAGTCGAATCGGTATTCAGGACACCGAAAACAGTTCCGGCCACCCGAGATTCGCTGAAGAAACTATCTGTGCAAAGTTTCGCAAGAGAGAAGAAAGTGCATGACCGTAAACACACTCCTGTATTAGTTAATTTGAGGCGCAAAGATGATACCGAGAGATATGGAATGGTGATGATCATGCTCGAAAAGAGAGCGTTTTGTTTATTATCCTACGAGTCTACCCCTGCATGGTCCACTACTGTGGATGGCGTGCAGGGGATTCGATTTGGAGATGAGATACTGTTCGTGAATGGTAAGGCGGTTACAGAATTTACGGAAGGGATGAATGGTATCGTATCGGAGATGTATAAAAGTCTGTCGTGCACATTAACTGTGGTGAGAGAACCCGAATTAACTAAATGCCATGTGGACACTGCAAACTGGAAGAAGAATAAGACACGCACCTTGGGTGCACTTGGTATTGAGTGCATTAATGACCAAGTCACATACGTTGCCCCGGATTCGGCTGCTGTGCGAGCAGGCATAACCAGCAGCCACGTCGTCGTAAAAGTAGGCGACGTATACACTCTGGGTATGAGTGAGGCTCAATTACACTCGACCCTTATGCTGGCACAGGTAAAAGGGTCGGTTAATAACTCACTGGCATGGGCGAGGAAGCTGTCAGGATTAAGTACAAAATCCGATACGGTAGAGGTAATAGTCATGGAGAAGCTGTTGTATCGCAACTTAACGAAATCTATAAATCGGGCTAGATTGGGCGAGGAGTTGCGCATCGCGGATCAAACACGAGAATATATTGTCTGATAGAGTATCACACGTTGTCAGAGATGCCTATGCGGATCATAGGAAATAACAGCATATATACCGGTATGCTTCTATTTGGATACTGGAAATATGACCGCTAATGTTGTACATAGCAATTTTTTGGGTGCTTCAAGAGATTGAGGATGCCTTTCCTCCTAGAAGTGATTCAATGAATGAAAGCGATTTCTCACACCACAGCAATATCGAAGAACTGTGACGAGAGAGCGTTTACGCCAGAAACAAAGTCCTAACTTTACAAAGTTTCAGACAAAATTGTATCAAGATCATGATGTAATCAACATGCTAGGGTATTCGGAATCCAGTCATCTCCGCAAAATCTTGGAACGATGACAGCCAGGTTGCCCATGTCAATGCGCAGGACGCACGTGTGACAGCACATAGCGCTTTTCGATTCATCGTGATGATATGATTTGTGTGGCTGCTCGTTATATCCCGATGCAGCCATAGCTTCCGATACAGCGTTGTGGATTCGTATACGATGTTCAACGCAGATTTACACCACGCACAGAGTCAAAGGTCCAAGACATAATATGACCTCGATCGTACAGAGTCTATCGTACAAAGCATAAGCAATAAATCAAAGTAAATAGAAGGTTGTCCTGTAGGGGATGTTTATATATTGACCGACTTTCGAATCAAAGCTTACATGATATGATCCGAGGCTCTGCGATACCATGCTTCCTCGTGATCATTCCTTTTTGGACATCGCTTTTCACGCTCACCTGATGAGACTGAGGAAAACAACTGTCATAATACAGACAGTGCGATCTTGAAATAGAACCCCAACCATTCAGACTCGATTCGCCATCTCAGCCGCTTGATTCAGCGTGACATATGCGTCCAGTGTAAAGGCTATGCAGGTTAAAAACGGATGGACATTTGATGCTAGTACGGGCGTGAAAAATCCTTGCTTATACATTTCTATAATATACCCTTTGCCAGAGTAGTCTCCCTCACGAGCCGTGGATACGAATGTACTCTCAACCCTGCAGATTGGTTACCGATTCAAACTGCGATACCACCGCCTTGATCTCATCCTCAAGATCTAGAAGAACACCTAGGAAACGAAAAGACAATAGGAAATCTTGTGAGTGTACCGTTACAATCGAGGGCATGCCTCGTGAAGCTGTGCATGGAACAAAACACAATACTACCAACATCGATCGAGATATATATCTGAAGCATACCGACGTCTACTCAAAAATTGGCAAATGAACATATACCAAAAAACTAGGGGATACGTCACATCGACGATAGCTTTTAAGCTTTAAATGACAAACATAGTTATATACATGCACACACAAACGTACAACATTCACATCGGCATTCATATTTATAGTCATCTCTTTCATCCTCATCTACAGATACACTTCTAACATACGCACAGAAAAAATAAGCGCAGGCGAAAGAAAATAAAAAAAGCACACACACATATATACCATATACAAAATGACACGCATATCTTACTATCGATCGATCTTTTTATCTATGTAGCTAATATCTATCTATCTACCTAGCTTTTATCTAACTAACTGTCCATCCATCCATCTATCTAATACACACACACACACACACATATATACGAATACATAATATATATATATATATGTAGATGTGTACAAACACAAACATATATACTCACATGGATGTACAAAAGCCAAGTAGCATAGACAGATTGTTAAACTCTGTTAAAGCCACTCGCAGCTCAGTTAGCACAGTTGCCAATTCTCACAAACATGCAAGAACACGCTGTATGTTACTCCCACATACCAGTATTTGCATCGGATGTCGCAAACAACGAGACAATCAGCGGCAGCAGATTGAAATGAACTACCTGAAAATCGCTGAGGTGAAGAAAGTAGACGTTCTATTGGTTGATTGATATATTCATAATATATAAGGAATACACACATTTTAGCTTTCACCTGAAATCACGTTCTTTTCAGAAACCTCTGCGGTCGCATATGCACGCGAAGAGCGAAGACAGCAACAACCTAATATACCACACACATGAGAAAAGTCTGACTACGATTCGGAAAGACTGGAAGTAACCAATTTACCTATATAACGCGGCGGCCCGTTTATTTCGACCGCAACCCAATTTTCCTGCCTAGGGGGAGAAATTACTTATGATGAGATTATACGAGGTAGGAAAACTAATGCGAATAGGTTTTGGTTACGGGCTACCTTGCCTGAAATAACCACTGCACAAGTCTCATATCACACCAGTTACCACTTCTCTATTCCATATTCAATATATATATATGTAGTAGATTATTCCGAGTATTCTAAGAAATACTGCGCTAGTGCATGCGACGGTTATAGCATTAAAAATCCACATATATGTGTGTGTGCAGGTGGTTTGTGAAACTAGCATGAGGGATTATAAGGAACTTTAGATATAACAATGACAATATATTTTCCTCATCTCATACATACCTGCTCAGAGGTGATCGAAAGAGCAGATAGCATGCCCGGTGTCAACGCTGTATCGGGCAAACCAGTCCTGACTATATATAAAAACAAGGAAGCGATTACTGGTATGCGACTTTGCCAGAGATCTCACCAGAAAGTACAGAAAACTACAATTCAGTAGAAAACGAATGGTGTCTAACATACGGTTCAAACTATAAATCATGGGATGCCCGAAATAGTAGTAACCTCTAAATGAGCAAGTTTTGGTCTCGCAAGCTCTGTTGTTATGCTTTCGTGCGAATGTACTTCCAAAACTCCCTACATTAGAATCGGCCCCCAATACCCAGCGTACATGTCCACCCATACGTTAATATCCATGCCTACTACAAACAATGATATCGAGGCTGCAATTTCCTATGTTATGTTTAATTGTGACAGTGCAGATTTCGGATATAGTAAACTGAGCGAAGCTTAGTCATAGGGGCAAAAATAAAGAACAAACAGAACGCTACGTACAAAAATATAAATATTAAAAAAAAAGAACAAATACAAAAATACACACACACACATATATATAGGGTATGATGTAAGATTCATCGGATCTACGATCATATATATATATATTAGGCCTGGGCTAGTATCGTAGGATTCAAATACCTTGTTCGAGTATGACGCCATCCCGATCCGTCAGCACTACAGCTAGCAGACCAGGCGTCCTAATCAGGAGCTTTTCGAAGAACAAAGGCAACGTCTGTATCGCAATGTTTTGGAGCGAAGAATAGGAGTGAGGACTTTTGTAAGAAATATCAGACCCAGTACGTAGTGTGAATTTCAAGTCAAAAGGGTTGGTCAATTGAGAAACATGGCTTACCATCACGTTATACTCGTTGCACTGTGCAACTCTATAAAATTAACTATTGAAATGGCTTGCTAAAAAACTTACGGAGGAATATATAAAAATATCAGTCCAAATGTTCGGCATGGTTCGGGGAAAATACGTAGTTGAATAGTGCACAATATAATATATATATATATATATATATATATATATATATATTTACATACATACATACATATATACATACATACCTACATGTACAAACACGCACACACACACACACACACACACACATATATATATTCTTATACCGGCTACAATGAAGCCATTATACTGGCTCCACATACACACACACGCTTATATATATATCATACATACATACATACATACATACAAATACAAACACACACACACACACACACACACATATATATATTTATATATATATATATACACCGGCTACAATGAAGCTATTGTACTTGCTACACATACGGACACACACACACACACACTATATAGGTATACATTTATACATATTCACAAACACACACACACACACACACACACACACACACATATATATATATATGTATACATTTGTATACATATACTACAAAATCACACAAAGAAACACACATAGAGACTATTAATATAACATATACATATATATATATATATATATATAATATACATATATATATATACAGACACAGACACAGACACACATATATATATATACACGAATACACACACACAAAAACACAGTCACAGACACAGACACAGACACAGACACAGACACAGACACACACATATATATACATATATATATATATAAATATATATATATATATATATTTATATCCAAACACACACATATGTATTTTGTATATACATATCCATATATATATACATACATATACATATACATATACATATACATATACACACACATATATATTATATATATATATATCCCTATATCTATATATATACCTATATCTGTATATATATATCTGTTTTATTTATGTATGTTTACATATTACACCAAAACAATCACAACGTTATGTGACACACATACCATCAAGCTAGAAGTGTATCGTATCTCTCACGTGTTCACTGTCTACATATATACGTGTATGTAATTTTGTGCAAAATACGACGATTCCGATTCTCGCTCGCAATCAGAAGTACATCAGTTGAAAGAATTCCATCCTTCGAACGTGGGCCTTTCCAACGACTGGAGCCGTTTTTTATTGAGCATTCGATCGGGATGATACAGTGTTATTTGATACATTTTGTCAATATAAAACATTGATTTATATTGAACCTAGGACATAGTAATGTTCGGGCAAACTCTTGTTTTGATTTTGGATCGATGCATTTTTGTTGTAAAAAACATAGCCGTCTGAAAATAGAAAATAAAAAATAATGTAATTTAGCCTTCTGTAGACAAATATGTGAAAAATATGTATCTTTCCAAGTTGTTTTTCAAAAAAAAAGAAACATACATCTGCTGTATGTATTTATGTAAATATGTAGTAAAAATATATGCACACATCACAAAACAACCCACTATAATAATATGTAATCAAATATATATCAAAAATATAAGAATGTACAATCGACCTTCATATTTTGCCAGTATAGTCGTAGTATAAAGGCACATTGTCTATGTATCATTAAAAGCGGTCACGATGTCTGAGTCTAGAAATTATGAGTTATATCGTCAGAGTACGCTAGGACAATCATTGAATGATACCTTGGAAGAGCTGGTTCTAGCGCATCATATATCCGCGGAGATGCAGATGAAGGTAGGCGAGGCGGCGACGGTCTAGTCCATATCTTAAACAAATCTGATTATGCGCATATATATAATATACTTTTAGGGTAATAGTTAATTTTAGTATTGTATATGGTATATGTTTGAGTTACTGGATAAATTTTACCCCCAAGGATGTTGTTTCCCTTGCACTCTTCCCCGGAGAATACTTATCGAGTTGTCATGATCAGTACTTATATCAGTACTTATCAAGTTGTCACGACAGGACATCATTTTACGTTGGCTGATATAGTTCAAATTGAATAACCTTATATAAGTCTCGTAATCAAATTTGTGCGAAATGATATCAATATTTGAAGTAATAT